GTTATCTAAATGTCTTCACTACTAGTTGCAAAATCTGTTGCATGCACACTGACAGAAGAACTAGCACTTTTTAAAATCTCAAATAGCAATAGGATGAGATTCAAGAAATGAAAAAAGTAAAACTGGAAAGTGGACTGCTCAGCTCAGCTGAAGCCTTTGCTATGTTGTAAGCAAACGACAAGGCAAATGGGGCTGAGATAGAGGCTTGATATTAGTTCATAATTGTCTCCTTGATATTGATGTCCATTAGATAGGTATACTGTACCTCACTTGCATGCATATACACCATACACACACACACATATTCACCAATAACATTTGATCCTTTTCCTTCCCCTCCCCACAACGCTGAATCCAGTATTCCCAGCACTTAACATCGATTATTAATGGAAGGTTTCAAAAGAGAAGGAGGGCAGAAACTGATCTTACTCTTTATACCCACTAACATTAAGAGAAACCTGTCTGAGGATCGGGGCCAGTAACTTCCCAGAAACCTTACTGATGGGAAGTACTGTGCCAGCATAAATTGATTGTGTAATTTCTGCAGATCATCATGAAACCTGAGGGTCATGGTAATGTCTGACAATAGCGACTTATTTTTGCCTTTTGGTCTGAGAATTTTTGAAGACACGTGTGGACAAGTGACCACCTCTGAGGCTGAAAAATGAAGCCAAGTGAGAAGCATCAAAAAGTGCAGTTCCTTAAATGGCCACATGAGGGTGGCTCCAAAAGGAAGTCCTCAAAATGTTGAGCTAGACAGCATTAAACAGCATCAACCACTACCAGTAGTTTTTTTGTTTGTTTTCTTATTTTTAATTAGATAAATCATCCAAAAAGATACTTTAGTAATGGGTGTGACCACTTTGAAAGTTAGTCAAAGGAAGTACGATGAAGCCAGAAGTCATTGAAGTCATTGAACTAGACCTCTCCACCATGTTTGTATCAGCAGCGATCATCAAAATGATTTGGTATTACCTTTTAATGTCTTCATCATCTGTCATTCGAACTGTAGTAAGATGAACACGACACACCATCCATCCATTATCCAATTCACGACTGCAGGAGAGAAGGATGAAAAGGATGTCTTACATGTTTGTACATATCCGTGACTTTTTGTTTCTTGTTGTGAGCCATTAAAATAACCAGAGGTGAGATCGCACCATTAAAAGAGAAGCTCAGACTGCTAAATGTGTAAAAAAGTTTTTTATGACAGCTTATTCAGATCATTTAAAGCCAGCCCTCAAGGGAAGAATGTGGCGGATAACACCTCCCCGTTTCCGTCTCATCACAAACAACACCGGTCTTAAAACTGGCACGTGATGGAGATTCAGATGCTATTTGGTAGTTTATCTAAAAGGGAGTCCTGAGCTGTGTTCTCCCATTGTGCATTTTTACTCCTGTTCCTGTGCCCTCTCCTGTCCCCGTGGAGCCAAACGTGCGTCAGCAAGTTGCTCGGCGGCAGCCTGGGTATCTTTTTATCAGCTCCTGTTCCTCTGCTCTTTATTTTGTGAAAAAGGTAACGCATTGAGGAGCAGTCACACATCATTATTTAGATATTTATGTTAATCCCACCTGTTAAAAAAAAAGGCTTTTAAAAAACATATTGACAGTAGATATAGTATTAAACACCTTGTATGTATTGAAAATGAACAGCTCAGCACTCTTTAAGTCTTTATTTCCTCAGCACAACGTTCCTTTTGCAAAATCGAGTCAAACTGTTCATGCTTTGTTTGAATCAGAAGTTTCTCCAGTTGGTCTTCCAGACTCTGTGAGCAGATGAAGATGTGGGCCACCGTTCCTCCCGTGGGGTCCTCTGTGTCCCTTAACTGACTCGAACCTAGTGAGCAAAAATATCCACATGCCTGCGTCTTCGCCGCTGCCTGAGGGAACGTATTAATGCCTCAGCTAATCCGATTAACATTAACAATCCCGCAGGGGAAATCTCTGCACATCTGCAACGGACAGATAATTACGTCGCCTCAGATGTTTGTTTCTTTTTTCTCTCTGTTTGTTCTGGCTCTTTTTATGTCTTTGGAAGACCATCAGCATTTTTTTACCAGCATGGATGGGCACTGTTTAGCATGCTCAGGTCCTTGTAGAAGAATCTACTCTTGAAGATGTAACATAGAAGGATGCGCTCTGTGTCTCAAGGGCAAGCTTTCACTGCACTTTACTGTTATGACTAATTCAGTTCATGGATTTTCTCTTTGATGTATAAAAGGTAAATTTCTCATGAAAATGACTCTACCAAAATGGTTTCACCTCCCGTAATAGTGGCAGCAGCAGTAGTACTACTATTAATTGTACTATAGTTATAATTATTGGAGAAAATAATGCTAATTATTAGAAATTTCTCTACCTGTTTCTTTCTTAGACATTTATTCATTGAGTGTTATATCTGAGACACTATGTGCAGAACATGTCAGTTGTTTTTCATTCCTAATTGCTCTATTATGCAATCATTGTAGTGTAGGGGTTGTTTACTTGTATGTTCGCAACAATATCAAAGCACCGGCTGAACCCTGACGATGTGTGTGAGGCATTTTAGGAGCGAAGCGGTAAGCGTCAGTCACTCATTATGATGTTATCCTGTTAACAGAAGGTTTCTTTCAAAGATTATCTGAGCTGAGTCACTGTGTGTTGGAGTTCAAACAATGCACTAAAGAGATGAATGCAGATTTAAATCCCTAAAGATTGGGAGACTATTCCTGGATGAGTTTCATTCTGCCAGACTGGAAGAGCTAGACATTAAATTCATCAAATCACCAACAACACTGTGATATTCATACCAGCCCTCAATATAGTCTCTTTCTTTTTGTTTTTCACTTGAAAATTAAAAATTACACTAAAAAGTAGTGACAACCAATTCCAGCCTGGTCAAAGTTTAGCTCAAACTTTTACCAAAGGTTGGCCAAGCTGAAATAATTATTTATAAATGAGATAGAGCGCTGAATGCACATATAACACACACACACACACACACTGCTTTATCTTGCTCATAAAACGATGTCTGGCAAATCACAAGATTCAAATATAATCAGTGTTTTAAGTAATCTTCTATTGAGTTATTAAATTATTAGCATTATTAATTTATTAGCTTGGTTCCTTTGTGTTATGTGTTTGGTTTGGTTTGATTTTTTTTTTTTATCTTTTAGTGACATTTCTCAAAAGGTTATGGTTGGATTTGCATTCAGATTTTAGCAGAAATGGAGCTTTAACTTTTTATGTAGACCTGGATCTAGATCTGAGGATTTGGAAAATTTGACATTTTATGTCTTTTCACAAACATATGTGATAAATTAATGTCACTTGTAACAGGAAGTTTTGAAGGTATTGTCTTAATGTCCTCATTAGCTCATCCAGATACCCTTCTAGATTTAGGGGGTCAATCCATGTACAATGTGGAGGGAATTTTCAGCCTTGATATGCAGTGTCAACATTGTTCTTGTTATGGTTGTTAATAAAGCTTGTAAGATAATTAAAAATGAGTGGTCATACCCTTAAAATGTGTCAAAGGGAAAAATATACAGTGAAAATAATAATAAAATAGTAGTTACTAGATGTAACCGCGAGCTTAAGCTCCTTTAGTTACTGGGCTTCACAGGGTGCTGACAATATGGTAAGATGGGCACCCCAAGGTCAAGTATGCATATTTAATTTTATGATATGCATATACAGTAACACTGCGTGCATATTTAATAATACTAGAATATTTATAATTTCAGCTATTTGTAGTTATTTTGTTATATTTTATATCTTTGTTATATATTCGTTTAGTTAGTTACTATGCTTTACTGTCTCATAGCAACTGTGAGCACATCATTTCCTCTGGATTTCATTTTTGGTGGTCGTGTCCACTTATTGTTCTGTTTGACACTACCCCTTCTTGAATAGGTTGTATATCAACATACCTGGACCATAAACCTTCTGAAGTTTTTATTTATTTAGTTATTTTTTCATCAAGGGAACCTGATCATTGGCACATAGTTTTGCCGTACACCAACAAGCTTTTTAAAGTATTGTTCTAAGAAAGCTATCTTATACCTTTTAGTGGAGCAAACCTTTTGTTGTTTCTGCAGCTGTTGTACATATTGTATCTGTTAGGTACTTTTTAGTGCTCAATCAGACTAGAAAAGTGCTCAACAAATGCTACTTTTTCATTATTGAGAAGCAAGCTCAGCAGCTGTTTAGCCATAGTAATTTTAGTATGGTCAAAACTTTTGATCCTTGAGAGTCCTAGAAGTAAGTCCAAGTGTATGCACTCAGCTGATGCCCAGACCTTTTGATCATAGCACATGATCTTCATCAGCAGATGGAGCTGCTCTTTGTAGCATATGAGAAAAAATAAAAATTTGGTGCTCTTTTTTTTTTTGGCCGACATGAGCAAAAAGGTCCTAGAATTCAAGCAGCATTTGATCTTTTATGTCAACACATTCATGACATCCCTGGAAACACCATCTGCTGACAAAAACCACTATAAAAAAAAAAGTTCACAGCCCCAAAACACACTGAGTTCATCTGCAGCATCGGCGATACACACTGATGGTCACTTTTGCTGTATTTTAAATTCCCTTTGATGGATGAAAGGTGGCAGAGGAAGTAGAAAAGGTTTAGAGAACACAAGCAAAATAGCTTCCTGAGTAGATTCTGTGGTGAAACAAAGCAAGTAACTGATTATAGAGGGACTTAATGTGCGATAGGATGTACAGTAAACTAAACTGCATAAACCCACTCATTCACTTGTGCGACACCAAAGCAGAACAGTTGGAGAAAACCAACATTTAAATAAGATTACTTTACTGTTTATAGAGACGTCCACTGAGAGCACAATGAGGCAGCAGCTTCCCACGAATTTAAATGTAATTTCCCAGGGAAAGAGGGCCCATTATCATTTAGATAGAAAAAACACTCACAGTTGGGTGGCTCTTTTATTTATTTATTTATTTTTCAGTTTCTTTTCACGACCTTTGTTGTTTAATGCTTCTTCTGTCCTCTTCCAGGTTGGGATTCTCTACTTCCAGCCCAGTGTTTTCCGCTGCATCCTTCTGCGTTGGGTTCGACTGCTGGGTTTCGCTACCGTCTACGGGATGCTGACTCTTAAGTTGTACAGGTACTTCACCCACAGTTCGACACTGTTATCCATCCCTGGAAGCACTTATCAGATTACATTACACCTGACCTCTTAATCCTTTGATAAAGAGTCCTGTGATGTGTCAAGGCAGCGTGTTTTTCAGCTACTTCATCACCAGGCTATACTGCCTCATTAAGTGGTGAAGTAATTAAGAAAACACGGAGCGCATTGGCCCCAAATGAGCTCCATATTTAACAAAGTCCTGAATGACAGTTGCTGAGAAAAAGACAAAAACAGAACTCAGGAACAGAAAGCATCGCCAGAGGATGCAGTGGAGTGGTGTTGGGGGGAGGGGAGTTCTCCAGCTGTGAATAGCTGTTAATGAGACAGGGTGGTCCACTGTATTTAAAGTGACAGTGATGAAATTCTTCATTTGTGGGCCTTTTTTTGTCAGGTGAATCTGTCAAAATGCGCTAATGGAGATACTGATTAAGAGGATGTGGCTAACACGAGCCGGGGTCCAGTTCACCCTTAGAGGTGCAAGTTAACATATTGCACAGATCAATTTTTGATGGGGGGCTCATTAGTGGAGAGAGCAGTGGACACTTCATCAATGTGCGTGAAGGGCAGAGCCTAAGAATAGCTATGCCGGTGATGTGTTTGAGCAGAGTTTAACTCATGTTCCACAGTCTGTGGATTTGGCAGGTGGAATAAGTGCTGCAAATGTGATGGCTAGCAGTTTTTTTCTGCTGCGCTGCTTTGCAGGAAGTCAGGAAAAAGTCTTGACATGTCATTTAATCATACCTCAAGGCACACTTTCTTTTAAACCAAAGCCCTTAAATAAGTTTGCAACATATTAGCATTTTTTAATAAATAGTGTAAAATTTCACCCATTTAGTGAGGTGACAAACAATAAGTTTGCTTTGTTTTTTCTTTTCTGATCACTCAGCTCTAGGGTTGGGTGATATGTAAAAAATTTCCAACCAACAATCGTCAGTCCAATAATCGTCGATCGACGATATATTCGCGTATGCGCAGACTTTTTGATGGCCGGAGCAATGTAATCATGCACGGACTGATTTGCTGTTTACAACACAGAAGGCCAAACATGGATGAACTAATTTCCCCAAAGAATTAGGGATGTCAGCGTTAATGTGGTCATCACGATTAAAAATTTTAACGCGCTCAAACCATCTGGAGTGCAGAATGAACAAACTTTGGACAAACTGCCTGAAATGCATTGACAGAGACATTTCAGGGACTTTGACTCCGTCTGTGCTCCAGATGGGTTAATTGTTAATCGCGTTAGTCGTGATTATGCTGACAGCACTAAAAAAAATAGAAAGTTGCCAATTTGGGATGAAAGAGGTAAACCTAAGGATGTAACCAAAGCGGTGTGCCGCTTGTGCAGACGTATAGTGTGAACAAAGTACTCAAACACGACTAACTTGCATAAGCGTGTACGTGTCCACCATGCGGCTGAGTATGCAAGGCTATCACCAACTTCTGCAGCTCCATCAACACGCATTTGGGCGCAGAATTTAGGAGCGTGCATTTGCTCGTAGATGAAAAAGGGAGCTGTTAAAACAGTGCTATTATTTTTTTTCTGTTGACTGCTTCTATTAGCTCCATCATTATTAGCAAACTTACTCATGGGCAAATAAATAAATAAATCGACCTTGTAAAAACGATCACCGATGGGCTCAGCCTATCGTCGATAGTTGATATATTCGTCCAATCGCTCAACCCTACTCAGCTCTTTTTGTTATGTTTAGTAAGCTTAAGGCAGATAAACTGTCTTGGTTAAATTTCATGAACTAATATGGTCGAGAAAATCATCGATTCTGAGCATGTTGGTGCCAGTTCACAGGAAATGGTGCTAATAAAGGTAAATTCATCCATATAAAAAAAGAAATCTTGCTATAACTTTCTACTCTAGGGTTACCTTGTACCAGTGTTTTCAAATGGCTCAACCATCTAATAAAACTATGATTTATGCAGGACAAATAAGCAAGAGGTTACTAGTGACTTGTTTTGTCACCATTCCCTTAGATAGAGATTCTGGATCACAGTTAGCCTCACACAGTGAGATGTGCAGGTTTGAAGGAGAGGTTAAAATAGATAGCATAAAAGATGGACACAGCCATCATGATGTGACCCAGTGCTTTTGAAGCCTCACTGCTCTCCACATAATACTAGTTCTTTAATCCTGTCTTCCTTCTCTCTCCCCAACCGCCCCTCCCTGAGTCTGGTTCTGCCGGAGGTTTCTTCCTGTTAAAAGGGAGTTTTTCCTTTCCACTTTGGCCAAAGGTCATTTGATTACACGTGTACATTCAAGTCCTTCATTGCAGTAATATGACGTATACTTCTCATTTTGCAAGAGACAGCATGACTAGACTAATATTTTACATCAGCATCCACCATCACAGTTAATTTTTTGCCAGGCCCACTTTTGATCACAGAGTTGACGTCGGTGTTTTCAGCATGTTTGTTTGGACACAGCAGCACATAATAAAAATCCTTTGAAAGGCTGCAATAGCACAGCAGAGAGTTTCAGTTCAGTGACTGCTATTGGCACAGGTGAGTGAAGTTCGTGTCCAAGGAGGAAGATGGGTCACACACTGACCTAAACACTTTGCATACACCCAAGTAGCATCAACAATTTATAGCCTTAACAGCCTGCGTTGTTTATGTTTTTTGGAATGAAACTTTTCAAGGAAATACATCACTTTCTCTTGCACTTTGATTAAAGTGAAGATTTAAGAATGAGTGGGCCCCTTGGGATTTTCTGGTTTTTAAGTGGGCCGCAGCACTCTTGACTTTGGGAATGGCTGCTATAAAGCTTAATAAGAGTCTATGAAAATAGAAATACTAGTTTTCTGTTCAGTATTTATGTCAAACACTTAAAATTAAAGCAAAATAATCTCATATTGTGGAAGCAATATTTTTCCGATACTAATATTGCCATAGACTAATAAACCAGTGTGTAAAGCAGCTATGATGTATCTTTTGCTTAAAGCTTTTGCATGTAGAAGGTTTCAAATTCTAGCAGATATGGGAAATAAAAAGATAAATACACTCAAGGCACACTGAGTGTAGAGGTATTTCCCTCTCATGGATACTCTGTTTACTTGAAATGACGACAGGCTTACATGAAACTTTGTGAAACAGTCTCAATGTGAGCTTCTCCCTCCACAGGGTGCTGAAGGTGTTCCTGTCCCGTACAGCCCAGAGGATCCCCTATATGACCAGCTGGCGAGTGCTACGTCTGCTGGGCATCATTCTGCTCATCGTCTGCTGGTTCCTGGTGGCTTGGACATCTGCTGTCTGTCAAAACCCGGACAGGAAGTTGGCTCTCATCGAGGTGGGCTACACGCCCAATGGGCTGCAGTTCAGCATGTGCCTCCTGGATCGCTGGGACTATATGATGGCTGTTGGTAAGTACCGTTACTGCCCTCTGCCTCTGCAGGGCGCTGTGAGTAGATTTAAGTGTGCCGCACTCTGCATGTGGGTAGTGTGGTGAGGAAACGTGGGTTACTTGATGGACACGTGAAATTAAGAAGTGATTTGTTAGGCATGTTAGCGATGGGAGTTGAAAGTGAGATGAGGGAAGAATGAGTGATGGGGTGAAGCTGGATGATTAAGACAACTCCCTTCCATGTACATTTGGAAATGTTTCCCAAAAGAAGACATTAATCCTCTCTACTGGTGCTACGCTTTTGGATGCTTTCCTGTGTTGTACACAGGAGGGGAAGGGCAACCAGCAGCAGATGAAGACAGATGAGAAATCAAAGATGCTTTGAGAGCAGCATCTCACTTTGAGCAAGTCTGCATGCTGGTGTATGTCTGCTGACTCAGGCTTCATGAGAGAGCGCTGTGGTCGTTTTAGAGTTCTGGGAAAACAGATGGACCCCCAGCCGGGCCGCCATGCTGCGCTACTGTATACTGAGGACACATTTTCATTCTGTTTATTAGGAGGTAAAAATAGGTTGGCAATATGAAAGTGCGGGGCAACTCTGATGCCACCTGAATGCAGCTTATAATTTACACCCACAGAGATGCAATAAATCTTTCAGATTTAGAAATCCACACCTGCATTTGCTCGCAGCAAGAGATATAATTGTAGTATTTTCTGCTTTGCTGTGTTTCTGCGCAGAAACAATCCCATAAAAAATGAGCTCCTATCGAATAAAGACGAATTGTTAAGACCCAAGCATGCAGCAAAACTGCACTTTCAGTAGTTGTTATCATGTGCTCGCATGTGCAGGGGTAGAGGACAGTAGAGGCACACTGAGATTCTTGTATTAATCTTGTGCAGTCTAACTTTATAAACATAAAAACAGTAAAAAAGCAGTTATCAGCAGTCATGGTAAGAGAACACACTTCTTTTGCACACTCCTCTTCCTCATCCCTCACACAGCCTCTCGTGCAAATCACATGCTGGTGCGAGTTAGTTTCTTGTGACACCCATGGCAAGGTTAAATATCACAGAACACAGAAACACTATAGAAATTAGTACGTGAGTAGTGAGTAGTAAGTATTTTTTAAAAATATTGCACCATACAACCTAGAGAGGTTTCTTTTTCTTCATGTGATATCATGCGTGCACGTTATTTAACATATTGAATATGATATGCTGCACTAAGAAGCTCATTATGATTGCTTTGGTTGCTAGTAGGTTGCCTTGGTCACCTGTAATTTGCAACGAACAGCTTGGCTGCAAATACTTGCTAACTACTACCCAAGTGATTGTAGTTAGCAAAAGTGCAACGCAAACTGGAAATGGAGAAGGCTCCCCATCAAAGTAGAAGTTTAAAAGGTGCAGCTTTTATTTTGAAGGAAAATGGTCCCAGTTTCACTAGAAGTGTTCATACACAGGGATGAGTTAATGTCATTGGGTTAGCAGTTCTTTGTCTGCAAATCCTCTGTATAATCGGTTTCACAAAGCCCACTCTAAACTGTATGGAGGTTCATGATAGATTACAAAAAAAGAAAGTTATTCTATAGAAGTTATATTCTATAACAGAATATATGGTTAAAAAAAAAAAAGAAAAGGCTTTGAGGTAGCTAAACTTGTGAATGAAGTCTTTTAGTTGGTAACGTACCAGAAACATTTTTTGTTTAACGCTGTAAAAAAAAAATCAAGTACAAAAAAATGAACAAATCTGCCCATTTTGAAGGATTAATATGCTGGAACTACTGATAAATAATTTACAAATGCTCTGAATAGACCATTAAAAAAGAGTTAGATTTCCCTCGTTGCTCTCACTCGCTATTTTATTTCAAGGAACGGAGAAAACAAATTTATTTCTATTGTTGTCTCGAGTAAATAGTTTTACTTACAAAAATAAAAGTTTGAGATCTAATTATTTAAAAAAAGAAGTCCAACAGACAGGGAGGCGTTTACAGTAATGAGTCACTTTGCAGTGATTGTTGTTCCTATTGTAAGGAAACATGATTCACTTGCCCTCACAGGCAGCAACCTGGCGTGTTTACAGTTGCGGAGCTGGATACCTTGGAAACCTTATGTGAGGCTGCTGCGGAGGTGCACGGGGACTCATTTAATGCCCTGAGAATACAACCACAGCTGTTGCAAATGAGTCTGTCGAGCAGGCCACTTTCCTGTATACGTGTGTTTTACAACCATCTGTGGCAGCTCCATGTGTGCGCTGGAGTGTGAAGTGGCTGGTTGGTTGGTGCCCATGTAAGGAGCGTGTGCCGCATTGAAATGATTTCTTGGCCAGAGCATTCGCTGTGTTTACAGCTTGTTTTTTGTTTTTTCGCTTCCCAGCCGAGTTCCTCTTCCTGCTGTGGGCGGTCTATCTGTGTTACGCCGTGAGGACTGTGCCGTCGGCCTTCCACGAGCCTCGCTACATGGCCATCGCTGTTCACAATGAGCTTGTGCTGTCAGCTATATTCTACATCATCAGGTAAGAGCTCCTCCTCCCAGTGATTTGGCACCATGAGGTTTTTTTTGTTGAATTTAAAAAAAATGCAAATATATTCTATCGTATTATTGCATCGTACCAGAAAATTAGTAAAAGTTATATGAGATAAATAGTTTGTTTATAAGGTCAGTGAACTGCCAACATAGTCTCTTGGTTATAGCACATCGAGTAAGCTAGAATGAATCTTAAGGAAATGTCATGACAGAAATCAGAAAGTCTGAAAACCTTTAAACCGCGAACATGTTTTCAATCCCATGAGGTGATTTGATGCAAATTCACACTGGGCAATGCAAACAGAGGCGAAGCCGCATTTGTGCAGGTTAAAATTTTTCAACTCAAATTTGCATCATGTTGCAAAGCAAAAACCCATGATGACAATTAGAAACGGAGCTCCACAGCTCACTTTTATGCAGAGACGGGAAAAATAGATGAAGCCTTGAAGGTGTGCAAAATGGCAAATTTTCCAGCTATCAGTTACATGCCTCCTCATCCTGTTGGTCATTCAATGGTTGGTTGCTTTTGGACAATTCAGCCCTCAGTTGCCTAGGTAACCTTCTAATTTATTTGCCACCCCCTCATATGTCGATCAACATATGTGGGGGTCGCCATTGTTGGTATTTGCTGCATTTGCTCATGCCCACTCACTTCTCCTATCTCTTATCGCTTGAAGTTGCTGAACATCTTTGGCATTTTATGTTCTCTGATCACCACATCGCTCCGTGTGTGGACCACCCTTAGCTCAGGGGGAAAGTTTGCTTTGCATTTGGTAGCCAGCAGACCAGCAATAGTACGGAAGACATTAAACATGTAGCCTAATCTAATGGATGAGGATAAAAATTGGCTGTGTAAACAGTGCTTATATTTAGAAACCACTTGAAACTGTTAATTGCATTCTTTAATAATCAAATCATATTTTAAATGTCACTCAACAGTGCGGCACTTTGTACTGCAAATCATCATACTCATGATGTCAGATTAGTTTGCCAAGTGTTCCTTTCTTTGCAGGTTAGCATCCACACGCCTGTGCTGTACTTCATGGCACATTACTCCAGTGATTATACACTAGCTTGTTCTCTCACAGCCTGCATACAACTGTTCATTTTCTAAATCACATACTGCTGTGTAGCATCTGAGAACAGTTAACTATTGCACATGAGTAAAATAGTAATTATTTACTCAACCAGCTGGTATTTGTGGTGCAGACTAGTGAGGGAAAGGTTGTTTAATCAGCTAGAAATTTCTTATATGTTATCAGTACTGCATAAGAACATTTTTGCTTTGTGTAAAGTAGTCAGTCTGTTCAGATTCTTGGTACATATGTACAGACCTGGTATAAACCAGCAGCTCTTCTCAGACACTTTGAGGTTACGGCACAGAATTTAATTATTCTGCTGCATTTTTGGTTCAGGTTGTTTGTGGTAATGGCAGGAAAGGTACTGCCCTCTTCTGGAAATGGGCAGCAGCAGCTCAAATAATTTAAAGCTACAGAGAGTTGAAGAGAAGAGGGCTGAAACCGAGCAAAATCAATTTATTTAACAAAAATAACCCAAAATGCAAACCAAGAATACAGTGGTGTGATAGAAAAATCTGTGAGGTGTCTTGATTGATTGATTGAATCTTTATTTTGAACATGTTGAAAAAGTACAACAAAATAGAATTAAAAGAGACAAATGAACAAAGCAAAACAAAAGGAAAACGAGCAACCACAACTCCAAATAACGTTCATGTTCAAAAAGGAGCAGGAAGAAGCATAAGCTTGTCTTGAAGTGAAACTGGGAAGGCTCTACTCTGGGGTCCAGTGAGACTTGTTAAAGGTGGACATTTAAGTATCAGCAGATACGCAGGTAAACCTGTGCTGTTTGCACAGTCAGGCTGTGTTTTCTGACTCATCACAGACAGTTTTTTGCAGTAAACTCCCCCACCTGTGCTATACTGTAAGAAGCCTACAGCTTACATCATCTGTTATAATGCTATATCCAAACTGAAAACTTTTTAAACTGATTTTCTATTTATTTATGTAATAAATTTGTCTAGAATTTTTACCAAAACACTTTGAGCATCACAAATTATATTCTGTTATACCCCATACAATACTGAATTTAGAGATTCTTTGGGTAATAATCCTCTGTCTTGAAATACGCTCCAACTTTTATTTTATGACTAACACTGATGATAACTGACAGTAACATAACTGACAGGGTCAGTTAAAAGAAAAAGAGACACTTTTATTTAAGATATTTAAGATAAAGAAGTGGGTTTTTTGTTTGTTTTGTCTGTTTTATTTGGATGGCAGTCTGTGTCACTTTTGCCTCACAGTTAAAAGGTGTTGGGTTCAAATCCAGCTCAGGACCTTTCTGTGTGCACATGTAAATGGAATAATAAAGGAAACAAAAGCAAAGTCCAAGTTTAACAAACACTAAAATCAGAACCTTAACACTGGAATAACAGTAAGGCTCGAATCCACCCACATAGCGCTCTAAGCATAGTTACTAATAGATACATTGTGTTCAGCATGCAAATGTTGTCACTTAAATTTGCAAAATTCCCAGTACGTAGTGGCTCCATATTTAATATCATAGTCTGTGTTCAGGTTGTCATTTTGATGTTTATATCCTCCAGTAGATCGCCTGATTTCCGTGTACGCTAGCTCAACTGTTCTGTTCAGCTCATAGTTAATTTTGATCATAGTGAAATCAGCCCTCTCCCTCCAGTCTACACGTCAAGTAGCTGCAATGTGCAGTTTTAATAAATGAGATGTTTCAGCTGACACTGCCACAGCCGCTCCTAGCTCGAGCCGCCCTAATTGAGAGCTCAGCTCCATCACATTATTCACTAATGAACCATGTCAGGGTGATTTTTTTTTTCTAAGACAGCATCAATTACTTGAACTATTGGTAGCTTTATTATCGTTCATTACCAATAAATTGTGCATGATCGATAGTTTACTGGAAGAAATGCGAGTTTTTAAGTGTTCTGATGTCTTTTTGAACATCTGGCTCTTGTGATTGCTTGGCCAGTTCTTTTAACGAGCCTCTCGAGCATTGTTGTGAGGCTTTCCTCTGCAGAAAATGGCCAGATGAGGTCCTTAATAAACTGGAGAACTGCCTGGTGTGGTGGGTTAATTCCATCTGGTTGCCACCTGGGGCTCCAGTGTGCACCGGGGCTAGTTAAAGGCAACCGCCATCCATTTATGTTGCATGAAGAACCTGCTATTTGATCCCATAGTGACCAGTTAAAGCTCAGGCTTCCGTGTTGGCTGTGGTCATCTTCAGGTATAAGCCAGGTCCAGGTAAATGGGATGCTGGAATGAAACCGCTGGAGTCGTAGGAGTGGTGGGGATCGCTCAGTGAAATGCTGCAGGCTGAGAGGAAACAGCATGCCAGAGTTATTAAATCCTCATCTGCACACAAACTCATCACAAAACACGAAGGAGAGAAGACTTCAAAGCTTCGAGACATTTCATATGCTGGACGTTTGCCTTCATTCATGCCTCACAGCTATTACCACAGTAACTGTTTGTTAATTAGCCATTTGCCAACCTCAGCAGCGTAATGAGCCTGCTACATGACATTTGCTTGGTTAGAGGCTCTCCAGTGGTGGAATTAGCATCTAACAAGACATGCCTTCATATCCTTAGTGCACACGAGGTCTCACTGTGCTGAAAGCCTGTTAGTTCGTTCTAAATAACAGGCTGGAGCTACTCCTCTCACCACTGTTGTTTCAGATGGTAATTATCTTATTTTCCTCCAACTGCTGCAGCACAGCTAGCCTAGTGTGTTCCCGTCTGATGTACACATAGACTGAATCTTTTGACCAGATGAAGGTCACTCCTTTTTATTGTGAATCCAATTGAGCGGATGAGGAAAATATTGTGTCCTTGCTGGCACGAGGATCACCCAAGTAGAACACTGCAGGAGTGCATTTGATGACTAGACAGACACTGCTGCTAAATCTGCTGCACTGGTGGTAGCTTTCTCTCCCACATCCATCTGTATCCAAGAGCTTTGATGCAGGTTTCACTTCAGTTAGTGAATGAACACTTTAAAGTTGATGAACTATAATAAAGACGTGTCTTTGTGTCCAAATACTTTCCTGGTTTATGTGATGAGATTTAGCAGGTTGAATAGTGATGCTGAACAGCTTTATAGATATATCAGAATATAAGAAACTGAAATCCTATCGGCAGTCAATGAAATTGACTAACATCAGCTTCACATCTGGATGTCTGTCTTTATTTTTACAGGTTCACTCTCGCTCCTGAGCTGCATCCAGACTGGATGCTGCTCCTGTTCTTCACCCACACTCACCTAACTGTCACTGTCACCCTGGGTCTTCTACTCATTCCTAAGGTAACCATTTCAATATATGCAATACATTCACAAATGTATGGAAAAGATGGGTGTAGTATCTAATTGAATTTAAGTTTATTTATATAACGTCAAATCCCAACAACAGTCACCTCATGACACTTTATATTGCAAAGTAAAGACCCTACAATAATAATTGTAGTTTGTGAACCATCACTGTGAGACCTCAGTTTCAGCAGCCCTGAATCACAAGCACCCCTCCATGCTCACAGAGTAGCAACTTGTATAGATTTAGTCTATGAGGTTGCCCTAAAAAAGTCGCTAGGGTGAAAAAGTATATTCACCAACCAGGTAGTGAGTAGTTACTGGAAGTTATTTTACTTTTTACTTTGTGTTGTAATAAAAACCTGCTTGTGATTGCTTTGGTCGCTAACAGATTGCCATAGATGAGTCAGTGTCTTGCATGCAAACTGTGGTCAATTTTAGCAAACTGCTAGCGACCAATGAAATCGCAAGGTTTTTGGTGCAGCAACCACTCGGCAACCAGCTGGGGTATATGCATTTTTCCAAAGGTTGCTATGGAGTCGCTGACTGGTCTCTTGACTTATGTGACTGGGGCCTAAAAAAGTGTGTACTCATAGAACAAATCAGCAGTAAGCACTCTGAGTATCTGTTGGACTTATTTCCAGTGTTAGATGTCATGCTCCCTAGGTCAGTTAGCCTTAAAGTTCTTATTAGTTCAAGTTTAAGCTCCAAAAATTTACAGTAGCGTTCCTCTCCAGTTGAAAACATCTACCTGCCAGTTATGTATAAAAAGATACCTTTTCTCATTGACTTTTTCAATATTGTATCATTTTCCAAATGCACCTTTTTTGAAGACTATTTGCCCTTATTTTGTTTTCTATACCACGTATAATTTCTTTTTCTAAATTGTTTTTAAGTAGCTTCTAGCTTTCTTTTACTTAGACTTTTAATTGTTTTCTTATTTTATAATTGCTTGCTGTTCAGCACTTTGACAGTATGCAAGAGAGGTGAAGAAGAGAGTGCAGGCAGGGTGGGGTGGTTGGAGATGAGTGTTGGGGGTGATTTATGTCTGAGGGATAGCAGCAAGAGTGACAGGGAAGGTTTACAAAACAGTAGTGAGAATGCTATGATGTATGTTTCATGGCATTGACATTGGCACTGACAAAAACAGGAGGCAGAGCTGGAGATGTTGAGACTTTCATTGGGACATAATTAGAAATGACTACATCAGACAGACAGCTCAAGTTGAGCAGTTTGGAGACAAAGTTAGAGGGCAAGACTGGTTTGTGCAGAGGAGAAATAGTGGATTATTGGATGGTGAACATGGATCTGGCAGGCAGGAAATGCAGAGGGGTGATGTGATAGAGGAGGACACTAGAAATAGGGTCCACAATTCCCTGTGGACACCCCTAAGGGAAGGAAAGAAGAAGAAGAATCTGTGCATCACTTAAGTTTCATTTAAATGTTCTACTGTATATGAGTAAATTGCCTTAACTTGGCCATTCAACTTGCCCCCACTGGCCCAGATTTAAAGCACTTCTCCATTGGCTTCACCTTTCATATGTAGCCTGTGCTTACATGCTGCTTTACTTGTAATTTAGCTCCTTTGGTATTCGATGCTGTCCAGGATTTGGGCATTTCCAATTTAAGATATTGTTATTATTGTTGTTTTTATTCTTACTTTTTATTTTATTAATTATCTTTCATGATGGTCTTTATTTTCATCAGTAAAATATAATGTTTTATATTTGCTATATAGACTCGTAAATACATAGTAATGCACTAAAGAACTGTTTCCATCTTCTTAAATAATG